ATATGTATGGCTATATTTTTATTCATAACCAGTTCATCTCAATTAGCTGACTCTCCCTCCCTCCCTCCCTCCCTCCCTCCTTCTCTCTCTCTCTCTCTCTTTCTTTCTTTCTTTCTTCATCACTTTTTTGTCTCTCTCTCTCCTTTTTCCATCTGTCTTTTTTTATCTCTTTCTTCTTCTTATTAATTTTTTTCAATCGGTGTATCTATCGTTTAAGATGTTATTAATACTATATAAAAATTACATTTTTGTCTTACTATGAATCTCTCTCTTTCTCTCTCTCTCTCTGTCTCTCTCTCTGTCTCTCTCTCTCTCTCTCTTTCTCTCTCTCACTCTCTTTTTTTCGTCATCTCTATCTTTTCTTCACTCTGTCTGTCTGTCTGTCTGTCTGACTTTAAGTTCTCTATAAACGTACCGTTTTAGACATAAATTAAATTTTAAGTCGAATCAAGTTTTTATTTTCTTACAAACCGGCTTTTAATTTATGATACACTATTATTATTACTACTACTATTATCAAAACCGCTATTATTATTATTATTATTATTATTATTATTATTATTATTATTATTATTATTATTAATGTTATTATTATTACTATTGTTGTTGTTGATGTTATTATTGTTGTTATTCTTATTGATGAAATTTGCATTGATGTGAACGTATTCCGACGCCGAACTGACTGTACGGCCATTGTTGACATAGTAAGAATAACAACAACAACAACAACAGTAACAACAACAACAATAACAACAACAACAGCACTAACAACAACAACAACAACAATAATAATAATTATGTTTATTGCTATTAGTTTCATTTGTTAGTAGCAAAAATAATCGTAGTAGTAGCGGCTGAGGTGGCTGAAGTAGTAGCGATAGCAGCCGCGGCAGTAGTAGCAGTGATAACAGTATCACCCTTATTGCCTTATCTTCAGTGATGTTAGTAATATCACTACCAATATCGAAGTATTAAGTAAAAGTAGTAGTAGATAATTGTGTTTTTTATAAAATTTTCATTCATTCGTTCATTCATTCGTTCGTTCGTTCATTCGTTCATTCGTTCGTGCGTTCGTTCATTCATTCATTCATTCATTCATTCATTATATCGCTAATCGCTACACTTATTTATTTAGTTACCATATTTGCTCGTTTATAAACTCAAGCTATCCTTCAATGAACCCATCTGTCTATCAGTTCATCCTAATTGCATTACAATCAAGCAACCAATCAGACGCTTAATTAATCCTTTTTATCGTTCATTCACTAATTCCTTCACTCACTCATTCATTCATTTTTTTGTTCCTTCATTTATTCATTCGTTTAACTACTCTTTCGTTCATTAGAAACATTCAACTGTGCAAATATTAATTCATTTCTTTCTTAATTCTGCTGTTCATCTGTTTGTCCACCTGTTCATTCATTCGTTTGTTCGTTCGTTCATTCGTTCATTCATTCATTCGTTCATTCATTCATTCATTCAAACTTACAAGCAGGCACGCACACATGCAAACCCGCACATACCGCCATTATATATTACAAGGTTATAATTATAGTTAATTATTATGCAATAAGCTATATATATATATAAATTCAATGTTAATAATAATAATAGTCATTTATTATTATTATTTTATTGGTATTATATTCAAACTAAATTACGCTCATTACTTATTTGAGATGATACCAATCGGTAGGATGAAGCTGTGAATAAGAATTATTGTTATTATTATTATTATTGTTATATATATTATTTTATTATATATATATATATATATATATATAATTATTATATCATAATAATAATTAATGTCTCCATTTGAAATATCTGTGTTAATGAGTTGCAACAATAATAAAATTCTGACTAGTAGTAGTAGTAATAGTAGTAGTAGTAGCAGCGGTAGTAGTAGTAGCAGCAACAAATACAACTAAATTAATAGTAGAAGTTAGTTAGTTAATAATTGTAGTAGCAGCGATACCTCTTGAAGTAGTAACAGCCGCCTTTGTAGCGACAGAAATGCTATTTCTGATAGTGGCAGTGGTAGTAGTAGTTGAAGTAACAGTAGTAGCGGCAGAAGCGTTTATTGGATGATTTATACTAGCCAACTGCCAAAACAATGAAAATTAACAAAACAACTGCTCGGTCAATTTATACTTTCGTGAACTTTTTCAACTTTTAACTTTTTTCTCACTTTCTCTCCCTCTCTCTCTTTCTTTCTTTTTCTCTTTCTCTATCTTCCTTTCTTTCTTCAATTCTCTGTTTTTTAATCCTTCTCTCTCTCTCTCTCTCTTTCTTTCTCTCTCTCTCTCACTTTCTCCATACTCTTACTTATACTCTCACAGACGCACTTGCATACACAATGTACATGTATACTTAGATTCATGCAATTTTGTAGACATAAGTACAATTACACATACATATACAGAGACACACACAAACACACACATATACACAAACACACAGACATCAATACGCACACGTATACACACAAGCACACATTTCTTTCTTACATTAATTCATTTGGTAAACAACTTTGAACTTCATTTTAATGCTGTTGTAGACAGTAATAATTAATTACGATACTTTATTAATAGAGTTGAGGTATTGTATGTATGTGTGTATTGTATCTATTGTGTATGTGTATGTGTGTGTGTGTATGTGTGTGTGTGTGTGTGTGCATGTATGAGTGTATATCTTTAAGTGAACAATTGATTAAAGAACCATTGATTTGTACAAAAAGGACAAAAACAACACTATAATAATAATAATTATAATTATGATAATAATAATTATAATTATGATAATAATAATTATGATAATAATAATAATAATTATGATAATAATGGAAACATTCTTTTATTTACCGAAAAAATAAAATCCAAATGAAATCAATCGAGAATCATTAATTATATATCAGAGTGTAATTAATTAAGATATAAAATATAATGTAGGACCATCCCATGCTCTTTGATCAACAAGTGCTTGAGAGTAAAAAAATATATTTAAAATCGGCTAAGTAGTGTTCCTGTCACAATATATATGCTATATGACGAGCGAATTACGGCGTTTATCAGTTTTTGATTAAAAGATTTCGACCATAATATTTTAAACAAAGTTATATTAAAATTGTTATAAAAACCCGCAGGTATTATAATAATTAAAATAATTATTATAATAATATTTATAATAATAATAATTATTATAATAATTATTATTATTATAGGTGTTTGACGGCAACATAGATAGCAACAGAGTGAAGCATTCGTATTTGGATACGGCTGTTCTAGCCAGATACGTAAAGTTTCACATAGTCTCCTGGAATAATCTGCCATGTATGCGTGTCGAGATTATGGGTTGTCAAGGTGTGTATGTGTGTATGTATGTATGTATGTATGTATGTATGTATGTATGTATGTATGTATGTATGTATGTATGTATGTATGTATGTATGTATGTATGTATGTATTTGTCTGTTTGTTTTTTTTGTATGTTGACGTGCATGTTGTTTTTGTATGATTTGTGTATGTGGGTGTGTGGCTGTTTGTATGAATAAAACCGTTGTATCAATACAAAACTCAAAACACCACCAACAACAAACAAACAAACCCAAGTTTGCAACAGTCACGTGGCCATCCCTCCTTACGTCAGAATGACGTCATCGTCGTCGAAGATAAACAAACAGCAGAGCACGTGTCATCCGGAAGATGGTCATGTACTGTCGAAGAAAAGCTGGTGTCCCAAGAAACATAACAGTTAGTCGGGGCTGTTGTTGTTGTTGTTGCTGTTGTTGTCGGGACTAGTTTGGTAGTAGAGATTGATTGATTGGATGGTTGATTGATTGGATGGCTGATTGATTGGGTGGCTGATTGATTGGAAAGTTGATTGATTGGATGGTTGATTGATTGGATGGCTGATTGATTGGGTGGCTGATTGATTGGAAAGTTGATTGATTGGATGGTTGAGTGATTGGATGGCTGATTGATTGGATGGCTGATTGATTGGATGGCTGATTGATTGGATGGCTGATTGATAGGATGGTTGATTGATTGGAATGGCTGAGTTATTGGATGGTTAAATGACTGGTAATGGGGTTGCTTATTTGAATGTTTGATTGTTTGTATGATGAAACACTCTTGAAAAAAACAGCATTCAACCAACCAACCAATCACTCAACCGACTAACCAACCACTTATCACTCTACTAACCAACCGACTTGTCAATCAACCACCACCTAGACGACCAATGGTTGCAATTTGACATTGGACCTCCCACCCTGATTAGCGGATTGGTCACCCTGGGCAAGGGCGACACCCTCAAGAACCATTGGGTGACCAGGTACCACGTGTCGTACAGCAATGATTCGGCCCTATGGTACTACTACATAGAGGGCATCAACTCTGAAATTAAGGTTTTCTTAAATTTGTCTAGTCAAGTTGAACAGCTAGTTAAGCTTTTTCAATAGATTCATGCAGTACTCAACCTCTCGTCTGTGGCGTGATGTTGAATCTTCTGAACTTTGGAAGAGTGTAATTGATCTTTAACCTTTGACCTTTGATGCATAGAATCTTGAATTGACCGGATAGTTATCATTACGATACTACTGACTAACAGATATTAATTAATTTTCATTAAAAATTAATTGACTGAATCAGCGTATCAATCAAACATAAGTTTGCCAATCAACCAATAAATGAATGAATCAACGAATCAATCAATCAATCACCCAACCAACCAACCAACCAATCAAACACAGGAATTTGAGGGAAACCAGGATAAAGACACGCCCCGAACCCAATACTTCAAATCTCCATTTGTAGCCCGTTTTGTCCGCATTCACCCTACCCAATGGAACGTGCAAATTGCGATGAGGGCTGGCCTATTGGGCTGCCCCTTTAACGACCAGTGCGGACCTGAGTTTGTCAGGATTGCTAATAACACGCCTTGTGGTTGGTTGGCTATTTATAAAAGTGGGCTTGGTTTGAATATTAATGGAGATGTGTGTGGTGGGCGTGGTTTGAATATTAATGGAGATGTGTGTGGTGGGCGTGGTTTGAATATTAATGGAGATGTGTGTGGTGGGCGTGGTTTGAATATTAATGAATAGTTGCTTGTTTGCCATGCATTGGTGAATGGTAAGATGAAATTTGATTTGATGACTGAAAATATTTATGTGATAAAGTTTCGATAAAAAATATAAAACATCAAAAAATGTACATACGTATTCCTCAAACTCAGTTGAGAATCTGTCATTCCGCAAGGAAAGTTGGGTGAACAACAGGAGCCCCCAGCACAACTACCAAGCCCAACAGTACCCCCACTCCCAACACCCCCACCAACAACAACATCATCATCAGCAGCAGCAGCAATACAATAAGAGACACGCCCATGAGAGGTGGAGTGTAGGTCAGGCCAGGAGAGCAGTTGATGGTGATGGCGGAAATGGGTTTGTATGTTTGCACGTTTGTTTGTATATTTGTATGTTTGTTTGTTTGTATATTTGTATTTTTGTTTGTATGTATGTATGTTTGTATCAATAGGAAACTTATATAGCGCCAATTAAATGTTTTCAACGAGGCTATCGCAGTTATATAAACATAGAAGTCTACATAACATAACACAACAAGTTTGTTTGTTTGTATGTTTGTTTGTATGTGAGTATGTTTGTTTGTTTGTGTGTTTGTGATAGTTTGTATGTATTTGAAATGGTTTATATGAGTTTTGTAGGCTTTTTTGCTTGCATGTACGGGTATAATGGCCTCACAAGCATGCATAAATACATATACAATATACATACATACATACATACACACACACATACACACACACACAAATACATACATATACACACACACACATACATACACACGTAGAATCACTTGCACTGTACTGGACAATTTCAACGTTGATAAACCGACTTGGATGGTAGATCTTGGAAAGAAGAGAGATATCACAGGTCGAAATGGATTTTAATTGAAGATTGCGCTATATAAATGAAGCATTATTATTATTATTAATTATTATTACTATTATAATTATTATTATTATTGTTATATTATTACAAAACTATTTCCAAATTCTTCCCAAAATTATTTTTAATAAATTCACTCGCCAACTACTGCAGGCTTGTTCATATACACTCAACAGAAGACCGACATGAAATCGCCATTTGGAGGCAGCAGTAGTAGCGGTAGTAGCGTTAGTGGCAATAGTGGTAGTAGCAGTAGTAGTAGCAGCAGCAGCAGTAGTAAACACGATAGCAATGAAATGAAGGCTTACAATGTTTCAGAGGACGACAGTGCAACTTCGAGAGGTGCCTTGTTCTATCTGAAGATGATAAAGATGAATAGCGATAATAATAATATTAATAATAACAATAATAATTAATAATAATAACAATAATAAAAAATAATAATAAAAATAATAAAAAATAATAATAAAAATAATAAACAATAATAATAATAATAATAATAATAATAATATCAATAATAAATAAGAATAATAAGAATAATAACAATAATAAATAATAATAAATAAAAATAATAATAACAACTCCCCCGCCAGAATACAGAAACGCCTACAAAGAGTACGTGAAAAACCTGGACAGACTGACCATCTACATCGACAACGTCGGGACGAAAAAGTCCGCTGGTCACCAGCAGGACAACCCGCAGCAAAATTTCAGAAGGCACGCGCGGAACTCCCGCCCGGAGCATCTCTTCGCCACTGCGGAGAATCTCTGCGGCTCCGTATCGCGAATCAATGATGCAGTCTTCCAGTCAAAATTGCACCTTCGTTGTAATAAGCAGATGGCGGGGCGGTTCGTTTATATTGAAGCGTCAGGAGTTCCTAGTAGGTCCAGGAAACTATTTGCTGCTATCATTTGCGAGGTGATTGTCTATAGTTAGGCGATGGTGATGGTGAAGATGATGATGATAGTGATGGTGAGGATGAAGATGATGATGTTGTTGGTGGTGATGATGTTGTTGATGATGATGTTGTTGATGATGATGTTGGTGGTGATGATGAAGATGTTGTTGGTGGTGAGGTTGTAGATGATGATGATGATGATGTTGGTGGTGATGATGAAAATGATAATGTTGGTGGTGAGGATAATGATGATAGTGATGGTGAGGATGAAGATGATGATGATGATGTTGGTGGTAATGATGATGAAGATGATGACGTTGTTGATGGTGAGGATGAAGATGACGATGACGAAAATGATGATGGTGGAAAAGTAGAATAATGGTGAACTTCTTTTCTATCTTTCGTTATTTTATTTCTCAAACTTTCTCACAAGTTCATTTCAAACATTGCCTATGCAGCATGTCATGTCTGGCCAACAAATTTTTGATGAAGATTTCTTTCGCTGATCACTTTTTTTATATAAGATTTTTATATTTTATACTTTCACATTATATATATATATACACACACAAAAAAACACACACACACACACATATATATATATATGTATATATGATTTGATCTTATAACCACAGATGATGTAGAGATAATAATACAGTAATAATTAAACGATAATAACTACAACAATGACTTTATTAATATGTTAACTATTTTACGTGAATATATATATATATACATATATATATATACTTTTTAATAATTTATTTATAATAATACTTTAACATACATATCACGCATTGTAATAAGGTGCTTGCTCAATCGATACATACATATATGGTATGATACAAACATATATGGTATGATACATACAAATGTGGTATGATACATACACATATGGTATGATACATATATTTATGGTATGATACTTTCATATATGTAATGATATTTACATATATGGTAACAAGTATAGTTATAATAATGTTTATAATGGTGTTATCTAAAAATGTTCTTTCAAGTTTGGGTAACTGGTTGAATGAATGAATGAATGGATGACTGGATGGATGAATGGATGAATAAATGAATGAATGAATGATGTAATGAATGCATGCATGGATGAATGAAAAAATGAATTCAAATGATTAAATGATTCATATTCTCTGTAAATATTTCAATTTCGATCTTACATTCAATATTTTTTGTATTGTTCACTAGCATTATTAATATTATTGATATTAATAACAATAACATTGATTGTAATAAAAAGTTATCAAAAACCCTTTTTTATAGCAAATGTATGTTTGTATGTGTGTTTGTATGTATGTATGTATGTATGTATGTATGTATGTATGTATGTATGTATGTATGTATGTATGTATGTATGTATGTATGTATGTATGTATGTATGTATGTATGTATGTATGTATGTATGTATGTATGTATGTATGTATGTATGTATGTATGTATGTATGTATGTATGTATGTATGTATGTATGTATGTATGTATGTATGTATGTATGTATGTATGTATGTATGTATGTATGTATGTATGTATGTATGTATGTATGGTATGTATGAATGTATGGCACTGCTGCTGCTGCTGTCTCTGCAATTGCTTCAGCTTCTAATGCTGCTATTGGCTGATAGAATCATGAATGTGCGCTTGTAAATACATACATACATACATACATACATACATACATACAAACATACATACATACATACAAACATGCAAACATACATACAAACAAACAAACAAACATACATGCATACATAAAATCAAAAATTGAACCAACAAATTATAGTAATGACTCGTCCATGATTAACTGTAGGCATAATGAAGTGAGATCAATAATGAAATGAAGGTGATTAATAAAATTTGGACTTGAATCATCATCGTCATCGTCGTCATTATTATCATTATCACCATCATCATTATCACCATCATCATTATCACCATCATCATTATCGCCATCATCGTCGTCGTCATCATCATTATGATCATCATCGCCAACAACATTCTCACCAACAATAACAACAACGTCGTCCTTGCTAGGGAGCCTTGCTGCTTGATGAGGAACGCGCGGTGACATACATACAAACATACATACATACAAACATACAAACATACCTACATACAAACATACAAACATACATACATGCATACATGCATACATACATACATACATACATACATACATACATACATACATACATACATACATACATACATACGTACATACAAACATACATACATATAAACATACAAACATACATACATGCATACATGCATACATACATACATACAAACATACATACATACATACATACAAACATACATACAAACATACAAACATACATACATGCATACATACATACATACATACGTACGTACGTACGTACGTACGTACGTACATACATACATACATACATACATACATACATACATACATACATACATACATACATACATACATACATACATACATACATACATACATACATACATGCATACATACATACATATACAAGAAGACTCCCCAACAGCAGCATTTATCCAAGAGACATGTTGAATGTTAATAAGCAGAAAATTTCTACCAATAAAAGAACAAATTCGCTTTAATTAACCTATTTAATAATTAATTTTTAATTAAATTATTCACTTCATTAATAATCCAATTAATTAATTATCCAATCATCCGAATAAGTGTTGATTCAATTAAAAATTTAATCACATTTCAATCATCTGGCTCTCAATTTTGTTAACATATTAAAGTGTACGCAAAGATCTGACATACACTTCTTGAAAATAAACTCTTCCGGATTTTGAAAATTAGTGAAGATGGCGGACGAGATGTTGTTTGAGGCCCCACTAGCTCAGTTCGACTGCGAAGAATGGAACTCTCTGGACGATGATGATGCTAATTATAGCAGCAGCAGCAACAACAACAACAATAACAACATTAATAATGTTAATAATAACATTAGCACCAACAACATCAGCCAAAATGACAAAAATGACATTAAAAAAAACCTTAACCATTTTACCACAACTGCTAACTATGACGCCATAATCAACAACAACAATAACACCATCACCAACAACAACATCAACAACGTAAGCAGATTCTCAAGCATTTGCGATAACATTAAAAATAACTACAACAACAACATCAATAACATTAAGAACAACAACAACATCAACAACAACAAAAACAACAACAATGTCTACCAGTATAATAGATATAATATACTGAATTCAGCCGCTGTCAGGACCCTGATGATGATCCAAGAAAACAAATTTAACAACAACAACATCAACAACAACAACAGCAACAACATTAACAATGACAACAACAACAACAACAACATAGATAAAACAGCGCTTCTTGAATCTTTGGTGAACGATAATGACATCATGAGTTTGGAGAATACAATAAGATTGCTATTCAGCTCTGATAACAGCAATGAAAGCAGTCAAACTAATACCGCCTACAACTTGCTTTCTAAATATATTGCTGACAACAATAACAACAACAACATCAACAACAACAATCATAATTATGCTCAAACAACCGTAAGTGTACAATATTAATAAAAATGATCATCAGTATCATTTTCATCATCCCCATCAACATCACTGCCGCCATTTTTATCATTCAATCACTCATTCACTCATTTACAGATTCACTCATTCACTCATTTATGCCTTCATTAATTCACTCATTTAGTCATTAACTTATTCACTCACACATTCCTAGTACAAATCCTGTCTTACTGAACATCTGACAACAAATTTAGACGATGACGACTACAAAAACTTCGATTACAACAACAACGACAACAACAACAACACTAACAACAACAACAACACTAACAACAACAACAACACTAACAACAACACTAACAACAACACTAACAGCAACAACAACAACAACAACAATAATAATAACGTTGAGGATCTTTTCGGGCAAAACTACAATCTCGGTCTCGATAATTTCTGTGAGACCCTCTCAAGGTCACTCGAAGACCTCGTCAACACCTTCGACGAAAGGTCATGGCCACAATAATAATAATAATAATAATAATAATAATAATAATAATAATAATAATAATAATAATAATAATAATAATAATAATTCATGCATTTATTCATTCCTTTATTTACCCATACATTCATTCGTTCGTTCGTTCGTTCATTAACTCATTTATTAATTATCTCATTTGTTTGTTCGTTCGTTGTTCATCCATTCATGCACTCATTTATCAATCCATACATTCATTCCTTCGCGTTTTAGGATTACAAAAAGTTTGAAGAACTTTGACGACAAAGTTCAAGAATTCGCTCCAGTTCAGAAGTGGGAAGTTAATGATGGGGATGCAGTCAGGTGTGTTCTTTCATTCATTCATTAATTCATTAATTCATTTATTTGTTTATTCATTTAATCAATCAATCATTTATTCATTCATTCATTGGTTCAGAGATTCGGCTTACTTTTCTGACTCGGAGAGAAACGACAACAGATGGTGCTTGGAAGACTACGTAAGACGTCAACTAATTATTATTATTATTATTATTATTATTATTATCATAATTATTATAATTAATAATAATAATAATAACATTAATAATAATGATGATAACAACGACGATGATGACGATGATTATGAAGCCAAAATGATGAAAGAGAACGATGTTGATGTTGTCAAAGTGTACCGTACACTGACTGTGCAAAACATCCTTCTATTCAATGCAGGTCCAAAAAACCAGCCATGATGATGATGACGATGATGACGATGACGATAAAGAACAATCATCATCATCATCAACTGAAAATATCCTCAACAAAAATGATGATGGTGAAGATTGCGACGTCCATGATGATGATGATGATGACGATAATAATAATAATAAAAATAGAAACCACAAGATTGACGTCACAGCCATTAATGATGATGATGATGATGATGATTGTAATGTTGATCATGATTATGATACCAGCAGCGATGATGATGATGACATCAGTGATGATGATGATGATAGTGATATTGTAGTTGACCATATCAACGGCACGTACTCCAAAGAGAAGATACGCAAATCTAACGATGATGATGACGATGATGATGAGGAAGAAGATGATGACGACGATGATGATGATGACTATCCTGGTGTT